TCGTAGTAGAGCGTCTTGTGGTCCAGGAAGAGCTTCGCCAACAGGCACAGGTTCTGGCAGTAGAGCGCGTGCGCCGAGCCGTCGACCTCGAAGAGGCAGACGCCGTCGCCGTCGGGGCCGTAGCACCGGTTCCCCGGCGGCCGCCGCGGCCCCGCGTAGGAGCGGTGGTGCGCGTCCATGGCCAGCTTGGAAGCCGTGTATCGTAACGTGAAGTCGCAGACGTAGAGCGTGCGGTCGTGGTACGTCTCGGGGAAGGGCGCCCAGTACCACGGCTCCAAACGCCACCGGGAGAAGACCACCGCCCGAATGTTCTTCACGCGCGTGATCTTCTCGCGCGCGGCCTCGAGCCGCTCGGCGACGCTCGGGTCCGTCTCGCCCGCGCGCCGCGCGTGGGGCAGCTGGCCGAAGGCCGCGTTGCCGCCGCTGCCCTCCTGCTTCCGCTTGTGCGACCGCTTCGCGGGCGACCCGTCGGACGCGCAGTCGGCCTCGGAGCCGTGGAACTGGGCCTCGTCGACCCACTCGTCGAGGCGCCGGTCGTGGGCGAGGTAGTGCACGTAGTAGCGCGGGCACGCGCCGGCCTCGTCGACCTCGAGCACCTCGGCGGCGAGCACCGTGCCGTCGCTCCGCACGACGGACCGCGACTGGCCCACGGCCGGCCGGTTCGACGCCTGGCGCCGCGTCTGGCGCTTCGGGGCCGGCGGGGCGCTCATGGCGGCGGGGTGGCGCGCCCGACCCGGCGCTCCGCGGCGAGGAGCAGCGCCGGCCGGAGATGCCGCTCGAGCATCCTGCACGAAGCACCCCCGGCGACCTGTGTTTTGGTGCCGATGTGTAACACATCGGGCCCATAACTCGGGCTGCGTCGCGCGCGCGGACGAGCCCTTTTGCCAGCCCCTGGACACCCTCTCGGGGCGGCCCTCCGCCGCAAGAACGGCGGAAATCGACTCGGGTGGCGCGTCGATCTCGTCGCCCAAAGACGCGGATTCGGGGCCGATTTTTGCTCGGGACGACTTTTTGACCCTCTGGGGCTGCCCGCCGCGCGCCGCGGCGGCGCCAAACTCTGCCCGGGGTACCGCGACGACTTCGGGAAGCTCTCAAGCGGGGCAAACGACGTCGATCGCGCCGAGAACGGCCGGGGGGGACTCGGGATTGCCCGAACCCCCGAAACGCGTCCTCTCGAGTTCGCATCGATGACGGCGGTTCCATCGATCCCTGGCGGCTGCGGAGGCCGTCACCATCCACACCAAGACCTGCGAAGCTCTGGCTGCGACTCGGAGTCCCATCCAGGTCCCGCGCC